CTGGCCTGGCTTGTGGGCCCACGGGGCCCTCTGCAGCTTCCTCTTTTCAGAGCTCCCAGAGGATGCTGGGAAGACGGAGCAATGCGGAGTGGAAAGCCTGCCCGCTCATCTTCAGATGGCTCCACGTCCCTGAGAGCGTGTCCGGAAAGTGCTGCCGTGTGGCAAGCACTGGGAGTGTTCAGATCCCTGCACACGCTTCCTGGCGTGTTCAGCTCCCTGCACACGCTTCCTGGCGTGTCCTTCCCAGGAATTCAGACCAGGAGGCCAGGCTGGCAGAGGCCGGGACTCAAACCCATGAGCCTGCAGGAGCCCTCCGCGGGAGACCCGGTGGGCAGCAGAGGGACTGCGCCCAGGAGGAAAGTTCTTCGGCCAGGTGGGCTGGGGGCGGACAGGTGTCGTGTCCTGAAGGGCCTTGCCAGGTGAGAGGCCAGCCGTCAAGGCCGAGAGCGTGGCGGGCAGTGCCAGGCCTGGTGTGGGCAGAGCCGAGCCCCGTTTGGCACAAGTGTGGCATCAGCAAAGCGAGGAAGAAGTCTGCTCGGGGAGGGGTCTTTCCGTCATAGCAGGTCCCTTTTGTTTCTTTTTTGCTAGAGGTGGTGTGTGCTCACAGAGCGAGACAGAGCAGAAGGCACTGCCTGTGGGCCTGTGGGGAACACTCACGCCTCGATTCTTGCTCCTCCATCTCCCTCTTTCTGGGATTGTGGGTGCATGCATGCGCCCGCGTGTTCCTCGGCCGCTGGGACCCCAGCTGCACGGGCAGCCACGTGGGACCTGGCCGTGTCGGCCGCCAGGCCCCAGAGCTGGCCCCGTCAGTGGCATTTTATTCCTTAGCAGCTCTGTCCGCTAGAAACATCGTGTGGACCACCTGCTTACACGTTTTTCCTAACAGCCTTGTTATCAAGTAAAAAACAGGGTCAGCCGGTGGCCTGGAGGTTAAGGCGCTGCATCCCGTATGGCCAACTCCATGGTTCCAGTCCCAAATCTGGGGGCTTGGAAATCACACCGGGTGTGTACACGCGTGCCCAAACCCTGAGAGGAGAATAGAGGAGAAGGGACTGCGGCATGGCCATCCCCCTGGGGCACTGCGCTGTCGCTACACCGCCCTCTGGCACTGTACTGCCTCAGTCTTCACATTTAAATCAGGGGCCGGCAGGTGGCGTGGTGGATAAAGGCGCTGGACTCCCACATGGCGACCACGGTTTGAGTCCCAGACCTGGCGGCTGACTTTCTCGTTTTCCCTCTCTCTCTCTCTCTCTCTCTCTCTCTGTCTCTGGTCAAATTTAAAAATAGTAATAAGTGGAGTAATTCTTTTTTAAAGATTTAAATTATAACTAATTTAAATGAAGTGGTTACAGATTCAGCGTCTTGGTCTTGCTAGCCACATTTGAAGTGCTCGATGCCCACGTGACTAATGGCCACCGTCTAGGACACCGTGATTCTGTAGCTCATTTATTGGAACAGTGTGTGACTCTCTGTGGTTTCTAATGACATGAAGCGTTCGTGGCAGTGAATCTGCTAGTGAGGGGAGGCAGGACCCGAAACAGCGTATCACATGTATCGCACGTATGAGGGGACGTCAGGGAAAGTTCATGGGGAGCTAGAACTAAAGTGTGAGCTTATTTTGATGCCAAAGATTCAAATGCATGCGTAGTTATTTATGAGCTTTCTAAGAGCCCCCCATATAAAATAACCTAACCTCCCATTTTTCCCATGAAATAAATTCAAAAAGCATTTTGGGGGTAACTTTAATATGTAACCCTTGGGGGATACATTTGAAGTAAGTAAACTTCTATTTGTAATAATAATTATTAATATTAATTGTATTGTACATGCAGTTTTTTTAAAGTTTTTTTGCCAGAGAGCACATGTGGTTGCCAGAGAGAGAGAGAGTAAAATGTCACCCCCAGCAGAAATGGCCACGCTGCAGTCCCATCTCTTCCATTCTCCTCTCCAGATTTGGGGCGCACACGCACATGCCCGGCTGATGGGTCTGGGACTCAAACTGAGGATGGCATGGGGAGGCCAGCGCCTTAG